TTCCACTTATCAAAGATAGCCACCAGATCTTCACTTCTCCGGGCTAAATATCTTCAAATAAGGTTGACATCCTCCATGATAGCAACCTCAAATGGCACGGAAATGACGCCAAACACGATTTTTCTCAATATCCTATTATGAACCTGTAATCCAAGAATTTATTTAAATTGTAATTAATTTGGTTATGATTTCAATCTTTACTATCTTTTGCAATATTTCTTTTTTTATCATTGTATACCAAAGTGAAGTGGTCATTCCTTTTTTGTCATAAATCAAAGATCCATTGACTTGTAGTCCAATATTTTTGTATCATACTGCATTGTCTATTTTTAAGCTTTAAGTTATGATTTATAATTTAAGCATTTCAGAATTTATTGAACATGTCTAGGACCACTCTAGTCATATGTACCTCTCAATAACTTAGACTTCAATTGTATCCCCACTGAATCTCCATTTTCTCTGACTACTAAGCCTTATTATTATTATTTTAACAATTTGTCTTCACAAGAGCTCCTTCATCTTTTTTGATCACAGTAAGTATTCCTCTCTTAACTTTCTCCACTTCCTAAAAATACTCTTTGACAAAAAGCAAAGTACAATCTCTGATATAAATTATGTTAAAGAACAATACAAAGTGCTTATGGATGATTGATACAAAATAGTAATATTTTCTAGAGTGCATAATGGCCAACACATTCCGTCATCTCCAAAGGCCTTTGATTCCACAAGGTTTAATGGCAGCCTTGGGTAAGAGAGGAACCTAGAATTTCTATTCCTTGGAAACTTATATGTCTATTCAATTTTTCATGAAATGTTTTTTTACACATTAGGTCTACAGAGTACTGTGGTAGCTCCTGAAGTAAAAATAAAACTTAGGTAATGACTTCCCTCATGGGGTTCAAAGTCTGGGAGGGAATTAATACATATAGATAACAATATTTCATAATATCATCTGACGGGTTCACTGGAGAGTTACAAAACAAAATACTGCATGAAGTCTCAGTGGAAGGTTATTATGCACAGGGTGGAGCAGAGGAAGTTTCATGGCAGAAGTGACATTTGAGATGGAATTTAAATAATAGAAATTTACATGATAACTTTATTACATATTTAAAGGAATAGCAAGTTATATGTAATAGATTTGCGGTTCCATGTGCAATCATCATTTTTATAATACTATGTTATGGAAATGCTTGTTTCATTACATAAATTTAAAAAAATAAAAATTTAAAAAAGGATGGGGATTTCACTAGCAAAAGGAGGGAGGAAGGATATTTCAAGTAGAGGGAACAGCGTGAGTAAAAGTATGGGGAGGGGCAGAGAAGAAAGGACATCTTAGGTCATGTTCCAAGGACCAAAAACAGTTGAGTTTTGCTGGAGCCAACGAGTGTGTAAGATTAAATGAGGCAGGAAAGGTAGCATGGTGTCAGATTATAGAGGACCTTGAATGCTGGAAGAAAGTGTTGGAAATTTACTTGATAAATAGTGAGGAGTTACTGAAGATTTTTGAACAGAGGAGTGACATGATCAGAATAATATTAGTAATGAATTTTAGTCTGGAAGGGGCATAAAGAATGTTTCAGAACAAAGAGAGAGAATGGTGGCATATGTATAATTATTAAAAGGAACTATTGTAATAACTAAGTAGGTGGTAATGAGTGTGGTAGCTGTAGAAATAGAGGAGGAGCTGAATATAAGAAATTTTACATAGAATTGTACATAAGTAGAATCCTTAGGGCTTTTTCTTTTGATAGAAGAATTAAGGGATAGGGACAAGTGAAAGAATAAATCCAAGGTTTTGAACATAGGAGATGGAGAGAATATCAGAGAACTGACAGTATTTGAAATGAAGAAACATGTTTAGAGGAAAAGGTGACTTTTTTTCAGTTCTGGATGTGTTGAATCTGAGGTGCCAGTAGGAAAGCCAGATGGAGCTGTGACTATGACATACTGCCCCTTGCCAGTATCATGCACAAACATGATTAATGAAATAGGAACAACCTACTGAAAAAAAAAAGTTGTGATGTTCTTTTTCCCTCTTTAGGAAAAAAGGTAAGCATTCTTAAAATGTATATGCAATATAGATATGAAATGGTGTTTGTTTTGTGTGGCAATAATTAGAAAATATAAATCGTCATGTATAATGAAAATGTAATGCATATGAAACATAAAAATATGGCATTTTAGAGCTGAAAGGAACCTCAAAATCCCTTTAGAGGGGAGGCATGTTTTAATGGAAAAAATACCACCTAACTGAAAAAAGAAATGCACATAATAAACTTTGAAAAAAATTGGAATTCAAGTCAGGAGACAGGACTTCTGGTCTAGGATTTGGTAGTTCTTTATTTACCATGTAACAAAGGGCAAGTCAGAGCATCTATATGGCACAACAGATAGAGTACTGGTCCTGGAGTCAGGAAGACTCATCTTCCTGAGTTCAAATCTGGCTTCACACAGGTACTGACTGTGTGACCCTGGGCAAGTCACTTAACCCTGTTTGCCTCAGTTTCCTCATTTTCTGTAAAATGAGCTGGAGAAAAAATGGCAAACCACTCTAGGATCTTTGCCAAGAAAACCCCAAATGAGGTGATGAAAAGTCAGACACAACTGAACAATGGGCAAGTCATTTTACCTGTGAACTTCTATTTTTCTTATCTGTAAAATAAGGATAATGATTCTTCAACATATTCCTTTTAGGAGAGTTTTTAGGCAAATTCTTTTTAGACATTAAAACGCAGAACACCTGTGAATTGTTATCGTGATCCAGTCCACCCACCTTCTTTTGTAGATGACACTGGGGTGCAGGGAAGCTGAACAATGTTCTTAAGGTCACGCTGATAAATGGCAAAGATGGAATTGGATCCCAGGTCTCCCAACTCCCCTTCAGTGCTTGAAAGGCACACGTCGATTTATGTGTTTGTATACAATACACACATCTATCAGAGAGAGCTGAATCCCATACTAAAGAGAAACAGATAGTGTCCTTTCATCTTAGAAAATGGCAAGGATATGTTAATGCATGTAGGACTGTAGATATTAAACTGCATTATTTTTCTATTATTTTGTGGGATACTGATTGATGAGTAAAATAGTCATCTATAGTGAAAATCCAGTGACTGTTTTCCCATGGCATCTCCCAATAAGAATGGAATTATATCTACGGGGTGATGGAAAAGTATATAGACCAGTTATACAGTAAACAATTTAACAGCTATTCTCTTGTATGAAGGAACAAAACAAATGTCCACTTCTAATCACAAAACTTTTCAGAGCACTCTGGCATGCTCATAAAATCCATGCACTGGATCCTAGTTCAAAGGCTAGCTATTTTTGTAAAAAAATTAGCATATAGTCAAATATGTGTCTTGGGCCCATCCAAGAAGATTTACTTATAGAGTAATATAATGGGGGAGAGAAAATAATCCAATGAAATGGACTGAGGCTTCAGTGTAATATAGCTATACACCATATGATCCAAATAGGAGCTACCAGAACCCTGTACTAAACTAAACTCTGTTTAGCATTCTTCTTTTCATAGCAAAACATGATTCACAAAAAATAAGATCATGAGGGAGAGTTATTTATGTTTTTAAAAAATCAACTAGACATCATAAAAATTCAGACCTGAAAGGGACCTTACATAAATCATCTAGTTAGTCTAATTGCCTCATTTTACTGATGAAGAAAGCAAGGCCCAGAGAGAGTAAATGACTATCTCCAAAGTCATGCAGCTAGTAAGGGAAGGGAACCCTTCCTAGAAGGAAGATCTAGATCTAGAACCCATATCCTTAGACTCATGGAATAGCACTTTTCACATTGAACAGTACTGTAGTTTCCTAGAGCTGGTTACGATTAATCTCTGTCCTTCACCTTCTGAATCTTCATCTACTTGTACTGTCTAGTGAAATTGATATTTGGTATAGTGGTCTTGGCATATTGTAAAATCAGCAAAAACAGACCAAGATATGGTTGCTATCACAGATATTTAATGAATAAAGAAAATGGATTGGGGGGCAGGTAGGTGACACAGTGGATAGAGCACTGGCCCTGGGTACAGAAGGACCTGAGTTCAAATCTGGCCTCAGACACATAACACTTACTAGCTGTGTGACCCTGGGCAAGTCACTTAACCTCCACTGCCCAACCAAAAAAAAAAAAAGAAAAAAGAAAATGGGTTGAGAGATTTATTTTTTTTTTTACCACAAGAGTCAAACTAAAAAGAGAAAAAATTAACTAGAATACCTCTTCCCTTCTCATGTTACCCTATCCACTTGATAGAGATTTGATTAGATCTACTTTTATTATTAGCATGAATAAATACAATCAATTTTAAAACAATAGAAAAAATGCTACTGAGTGAGATAGATAAGCAGACTGTGGATTTAATCATGGTAGAATCAAATATGACCTAAAAATTCAGTTTGTAAAAAAGGCTCAAATACTGAAACTGTAACCCTTGGTGATTGTTTAATTAGCTGTGGAGAAGTGATAATATTGGATTTTAGAGTGAGAAATCCTCAATGTAAATACTGGTCTAATATTGGTCAAGTCACTTAATGCTCTGGGCCTCAGTTTCCCAAAAGGCACATAGGGGCAGGGATGGGACTACAGCTCATATCCCTTGGTAAAGGACTGAGCTAGTTTACCTTTGATGTCTTTTCTATATTTAAATGTATATATTAAATCTCTTTCTATACAGCCTGCTATGAATTTTATGACACATCCAGAGATGCCAAAAATGGATAAATGATTTTAATTTCCCAACGTGGTAAAACTTTGCAAACATTTGGCATCCTTTCAGGTTCTTTAAACTCTCAGTCATACATGTACTAGAAGCATGAACCATGGGATATTGTATAGTAATTTTCACTTTTATTTATTATTTTTTAAAAATGTAACATTTTAATAGTTTGTTCACTTACATATGAATATATTTAGATTTTTTTCTTGGAAATTCTTTCATCTAACATTTATCCCCTCTTTTCCTGATTCTCTTTCAGATAGCAGTTCTGTGGATGAAAAGGTTTCAAATCATATTTTTTTTTTCCTAAGGGATCTTGTCTATTGTCCATGTTTGTTTGTGATATAGTTGACCTGATTTTTGTTCCTTTGTTTTAGTTGTGATATCTGCATGTTTCCCAGCTTTCCATCATTTGGTTGTCCTTTGAGTGTCTCTCTAATATGTTGCATTTATTAAGATGTTAGCCTTTCACAGCTGTGCTTCCTTTATTTCATATCTGCCAACTTAGGGGTCTGCTACGGTCAAACACGGAAACTGTTCTTATGTCTGACTAATCATGCCCTTCCTGAACACATCACAGTCTTCACTATATAGTTGAAGATTTGTAACAGAACAAGTATTGGGGAAGACAAGCTTGTCCTGGATTCTCCCAGTGCTTTTTTTGTAAATGCTGACAGCCAATTGTCAAAAGCCCCAAAAACAAATAAACAAAAAACCACTCTACCACACAAAAATACAGTAGCTTTGACTTGCAGCTGACCCTGCCTAGCATTTGTCATCCTAGGTGTTACATGTATAGTGCAGTTGACCTGTGTCCCCAGTACACAAATGTTGTACCTGTAAAATGCTAAATATGACTTTTCTTTTCTTATTCTTCATTTAAGGCTCGAATAGTAAGTGGGAGTGGTCTGGATGTTTCCCAGTTCAGTGCGCTCCAAGCATTTGGGTAAGTATAATTTCACTGCCTTTCTTATCCTTTACACCAAGTCTCTCGTGGTTTCTCCATCCCCTGTAGAATTACTATCTACAATGAGTTCTGCACTCAGGGTTGGGAGATTTTTTCTTGAGAAGATAGTTGAAACGTAGACAATGCAGTAGTACATTGGGACGATAGACAGTATTATCCTTTATTTTCTTAGATGCATGCTATCTAAAGGAAGAGTGTGGTATATGTGATATATAGATAGGGGGAAAGCCATGGAATCATATGGACTTGGTTTCAAATCTTGTCTCTGGCTTATACTGGCTTTGTGACGATGGGCAAGCCATTAAACTCAATGCCCCCTTGGCAATTCTCTCAAAATAGAAATTCTGGACCGTTTGCCAGTTCTCATTATGGAGATGCTGATCACAAGGAGAGTTTCTTATAAGAATGAAATCAAAGACATTTTATTTGAGTCCCCACAAATGCTAAGAGAGTGACAGGGTGGTGTGTTGAATACATTTTGGAACTTGGTCCATGTCTCACTTCTGACACTAGCTCCATGACTAGGTAAGTCATTCAACTTTTCTGAGCCTCAAACAATTTTCTAATTCTCATCTACTAAGTTATACAGTGTCTGGCATTTAATAGGGCTTGATAAATGCTCTCTGAATCATTCAACCCATCAATCAATAAACACTTAAATGCTTTCTGTGTACAAGGCATTATGCTAGGAATATTAGGGATATGAGTCCACTTTGGTAGGTGGAGTTCTCCCACCCTTGGATTCACAGATCCTTGACCATATAATCATTAAATCATTCAGGAAAACACAGAATTGGGGAGAAAGGGAGACAACTTATTCCAAAATTCATTATCTGCATGCAAGATGCTAAATAGCATTGATTATTTGGAGCCTTGTGCTATTCACAAATATATTTTTATGTTCAAGTGTTAAAGAGCTAGGTAGGGGTCTTGCTCAATTACTTCTTTACTTGGAAATCTTACTGGAACATCTTTTCTTTCCCCATGGGTGCTAATCAAAATGTCAAAACAACAGTTTCCAACATGACTACATGCCTTTGGGGGAAGGTTTCTGCCTCTTTTTGGAGTGTTGCATTTGCACACCATGCTACTTCTGCTCTGAAGTGGAAAGAATTGCCAAGCTTTGGTTGGGTTGGGATTGTGCTCCTAACTCAAAAGAATAATGTCTTGAGAAAGTTAGCAGAGCTCTTTGAGCCAATGGTCATTTCAGCTAAACCCTGAGGTTATACCCTAGTTCTAGACTTAAGAATATGAAACAAAGTCTCCTAAGATCAAGTTGAAAAGATCACCTTTCTAGTTTTATTCATCAGCAGATTAACAAAGTCTGGCACCATTCTACAAAGTGATTCTAATACAAACAGATCTATCATACAGATATTGCCCTGGGCAGGGTAATGTGCTTGAAAGATTAGTAAACTAGCAGTTTAGCTAGAGTCTGAGTTGTGCTGCTACCTACTGTATAACTCAGAGAAGCAGAGGTGTCAAATGACTTCTTCAGTTTCCTCTCTTGTGAAATATGTAGAATACAAACTTGCCCTGCTTGCTCTCATTACAAGGGAGGGAGATGGGGAGGAAAGGAGTGAGCATTTATTAAGTGCCTATTGTGTCCAAGGCATTTTGCTAAGAACTTTAAAATATTATTTAATTTGATCCTCACAACAAGCCGATGAGGTAGGAGCTATTACTATCCCCAATTATAGCAGAGGAAACTGAGGCAAACTCAGGCTAAGTAATTTCCCCAGGGTCACACAGCTGATAAGTGTCAGAGGCTAGATTTTAATTGCTTGTCCTTGACATATAGCTGATCTAATTTCTTTTACAGTTTTATGTCTCTGGTTATACCAATCATTACTCTTCAAGTATTACTTGCTTCCTTGGGAATATGCTACCACCCGTTTACACCCATCATACATTTTTCTGTTGATCTTTTGGTGATGTGCAACTATAATTCTTCAGATACTAGGGTTCTATGACTTATCTATATAATAGTGCCAGAAAAGTATTGGTGTTAAAAAATGAGATTTTGTTTCTGGGGCACCAAAACTTGTGAAACACAAATCTAATAGCACCACCCAAGTCTGCATTCCCTTAGCCACTTCTCTCTTCTACTGCACTCCATGTTTCTTCTCTTCCACACTATTTAAAAAATTCTGCTTCCCCAACTACTGTTAGAATCTTTATTGTCTCTCCTTTCCTATTCATTGCTCATTTGAAAGTCAAGAGACTTTCAAGGCTGACAAAGAATTCATAATGCAGACAACGCTAAAGTCATATAATGGAGCTGTCATGGTGAATCAACTGAAGGATAGGATTTGGATCCAAAAGCCATTCATTTTCCTCATCTGTAAGCTGAGCAGATTGGACTAAATGATGTCTAAGGTCCTTTCTAGCTTTAGATCCTGTGACTGAGTTCCTTGACTTTTTTTTTTTATTTCTACTCCTCCTCAGAAAATGAATATTTTGGCTATGTTTAGTGGATTTTGTATTACTTTAATTTTGGTACCTCAGAAAAAAAGGCCCATATTTTTGTTGCTGATATTTTTCTAGTGATTTTATATGGCTGAGAATCAAAGAACCCTAGTCTCTCAAGAAATAGAGTTACACATCACCCAGACAGCAATGGAAAGAAATATGGTGGGTGGAAATGGGCTGCAACATATTCTCAATGAAGCATGCAGGTGAGTGTGTAAGAGTTCGTCAAAGACATGTATGATTGGAAAGGGAGGAAAGTCAGTCATATAGCAAGTGCAAAGGGTAACAGAGAGCCCACATATTCCATTGGTATGTATTTAACGTCGAGAGACCCTACAAGAGAGCTAGCATATTAAATGAACACCCTGTGGAAGACTTCAGGGAAGATATGAGCTTGAGTCACATGTGGTAACACGTGGATTGGTTGTGATCTTTGCTATTGGAGGTGAGTGTTTGTATCTATAAAATTCTGGATCTGTTGTATTTGGTGTCATGTGGGGGGAAACCTTTCACTGGTGGCTGTTATATTAAAAAGGAGATTTTATGCTAATGTGAATCTAGAAAATTTTGTCTTCTAGGCACTTGTAGTCAGTTCCCTGCTAGGGAGTGTGCATACATTGTCTCTAAGCTATATTAAGGTTGTCTGTGGAAGACTTCCCCATTTTTTCTTCTCTTCTCAAAATAGCAGCCTTGACTACACTAGAATTTAATTATAGAATGAATTGAATAACATAAGAAATTGAAACTCAAGAGAAATAAAGAGATAGCAAAAGAGCTCCTGGCTGTCCCCAATTCAATTTAATATACCTGACTCAAAGGAATTATTTCCAACAGTAGTGAAAGAACTGGTCAATAAGATTACTAAACTGCTGTCCCTGGCTTCCGAAGAATAACAGAGACTGGACAAAGTACTACGAAACTTGAAATAAGCAAACAGTGTTTTGGTTTTCAAAGGCAAAGGTGGGAGGAAGGAAGCAAGCATTTTAAAGTCTTTACCGTGTGCAAGGCCTTGAGCTAAGCTCTGGGATACAAAAAGACAGTTCTTACCCTCAAGAATCTTGCATCTAATGTGAATGCATGGGGTAGACAATATACAGAAAGAAGCTAAAAACAAAATTGGAGTGGTACTAAGATATCTGGTTTTGGGAGTGGTTTTTAAATTCATGCAAAGTCAGCAACAGGCCCAGAAGGAGAATGAAGACATTCCGGCCTTGATGTTTCCACAAAATGGAGATTCCAGGAGGAACTCAACAATGGGAGAAGGGGGAAAGAAGGTAGATGCTCCAGACTGTGGGCTTGAATACCAGAAAAGGAAGTCATAAACCTAAGGCGCAGGGGTGGGGAAGGTGCAGTCTCAAGGCCACATGTGGCCCTCTAGGTCCTCAAATATGGACCTTTGACTGAATCCAAACTTCACAGAACAAATCCTTTTGGGTTTGTTTGGATTCAGTCAAAGGGCTGCACTTGAGGATCTAGAGGGCCACATGTGGCCTTGAGGCTGCACATTCCCTACCCCTGCCCTAAGACCATCCTGAGTTTTCCAAGAACAAGTCATTGACCTCATTTTTGACTGGATTATTTGATGAGGGCTGTGCCATAGGCAGAGTATGCTGTGATTTCAAAAAGGCATTTGACGTTTTTTCCTAATATCCTTATTGATAAGGTGGTAATATGCTAACCAAGTAATAGGATAATTAAGGTTATTCAGAACTTATTTAAAAACAGAACTCACATAATGTTGATTAATAGACCAATAGTCAGGGAAGTGTCTCTGTATTCATTTAATTTTATGTGTCTGTGTCTGTGTGTACACATGTGTGATTATTTATTTTAGTGTTCAGAAACCTTGTAGGTCATTATCCTTTAATCCTAAAGTAGTATTTAAAATGCTAATTTCTTAAAGCTGTAGAAAACCATTTTTTTTTTTTGGTGAGGCTATTGGTGTTAAGTAACTTGCCCAGAGTCACACAGCTAGTGAGTGTTATGTGTCTGAGGCTAGATTTGAACTCAGGTCCAGGGCCGGTGCTCTATCTACTACGCCACCTAACTACCCCAGAAAAGCATTTTCTAGGCAATTGTTCATAATGCCTTTCTTGCCAAGAAAATATTTAAAATAATATTCATATATGATTCATAATTAATCCAGAACACATACCTTATTTTATACACAGCAAATAGAGTTTGATGCTGTCTCATTGAGTAGGGTAAATTGAAGCCCAGAGAAGGTAAATTACTTTCCCAAGGTCACATGGTGTCATCCATATGTCTTGAACACAAGCTTCCTGCTGCCTAGGCCAGCTTTTTTTTATTGAACTTCAGATTCTCTTCATTTTATTTGTTTCTTTAGCCTCTATATTTGAGGGTTATTTTTCTCATAAAAGATTCTGGGGACTGTACATCCAAAACACAAAGGATGCTTTGTTTCAATTAGCTAAGATCTGAATCATCTGATATTTCTACCTTGAAGTGACTATCATAGCCTTTCCTTCCTTCTTTGTGTCCTCCTC